TGGCCAACTGGCTTAGGGACTGCACCCAGAGAGTGGTGGTGGATGGTTCCTTCTCGGCCTGGAGGGAGGTGGGCAGTGGGGTCCCGCAGGTTTCGGTCCTTGGACCAATATTATTTAATATCTTCATCAGCGATCTGGGTGAGGGTGTGAAGAGCACCCTCTCCAAGTTCGCTGATGATACCAAGTTATGGGGCAAAGTTAGTACACCGGAGGGCAGGGAGCAGATTCAGGTCAACCTGGACATGTTGGATCAATGGGCAGAGAGAAATAGGATGCAATAAAGATAAATGTAAGGTACTCCATTTACTGTAAGGTACTCATAATTGACTCCAAAATGAACATGAGCCAGCAGTGTAACAAGGCCATCAACAAGGCCAATCGCACCTTATTGTGCATTAGCAGGTGCATGACTAATAGATCAAAGGAGGTGATGCTCCCCCTCTATGCGGCACTGGTCAGGCCACAGTTGGAGTACTGTGTCCAGTTTTGGGGGCCACACTTCAAGAGGGACACGGAAAATCTCGAGAGGGTCCAGAGGAGGGCCACTCGCATGATTAGTGGCCTTCGTGATAGACCCTACGGGGGGGAAGCTGAGAGACTTGAATCTCTTCAGCCCTCACAAGAGATGGCTGAGGGGAGATCTTGTGGCTGCCTATAAATTTATTAGGGGAGGTCAACAGGGAATAGGGGACGTATTGTTTACTAAGGCGTCCCAGGGAGTGACTAGGAATAACGGGTGTAAACTAGTTGAGAGTGGATTTAGGTTAGATATTAGGAAGAAATTTTTCACAGTAAGGGTGGCCAGGATCTGGAATGGGCTTCCAAGAGAGGTGGTGCTATCACCTAGCTTGGAGGGCTAGATAGTCACCTGGCTGGGGTCATCTGACCTCGGTCCTCTTTCCTGCCAGGGGCAGGGGGTCAGACACGATGATCCATTGTGGTCCCTTCCGACTCTATAATCTATGAATCTATATGCAGTTGAATAGTCCTATTGACAGATATACATTCCTTCTATGTACTTACTCTCAAAAACACACACTTATGTTTTCCTGTAGACTGATAAATGAATAAAAGTACTTGCATAGGAGTAATGTGCCTTTATATAAATAAGAGTACAGATTACAGAAAAGTGCTATTATTTCCATCTTTATTGTTCTAGGGTGCTCGTACATGTGATGCCCTTACCGTGCACATGTGATGAAAATGTCACTTTGTGTGGCTTAATGGCATCACACTGTACACATGCAAGAGTTTTGAGGATGTTAAATGAGTTTACATTGTTGCAAACTAAACTACATCCCAATTTACGATGCAAATTGCAATGATGCAGCGGTTAGCTCTCCCCCCAGCTGTGGAAGAGGCAGGCAGGCTCTGCAGGAAAAAAGGATTGGGCCCCAGCTCAGGGTTGGGGAAGAATTGGATTCGGCGAGGAGTCTGTCCCCAGGGTAGGTGGGCAGGTGCACTGCTGCTGCACAGGGAATGACCATGGCCCCCTGTAACTCAGGGGTCATTCATCCCACCAGCAGCTCACCCACTCCACCGCAGCCAGGCTCTGGCAAAAAAAAAAGGGCGTTAGTTAAAAACCCACTGTTTCAATTTAGGAGGCATAGAACAAAACTCTGAGGACTAAACACCCCATCACATGTAGAAGTGCTCCTAGCTTTCATTATAAAAATCTTATTTTTGACCATCTATAACATTAGCTTGGAAAACTGGTCTGTCAAGATTTCTTTGAAAGCAAAAGGAGAATGCTTCTGCAAAGTCTGAAGAATATTCATTGGATGTATTCTGAATGAATGGTCAGACCCCGTTATTTTTTCTCCCTACTATTTTTCATTTACCTTGCTTGAAAATGTCTGGCAATTACCCTCTGAACTTCCCATATTGTTAAGTATCCTTGAAAAGTCATGTGCTAGTAATATTTAAATAAAACAGGTAGCAGTGGAGTTGTTGACACTTTTTGGTTCTGAAGAGGTGGATCCCACTTCTAAGATCATCTGTGTTGGTGCAGATAACTTCAGTCAAAAGTATGGTAGCCCTAAGTTTTTCTGCTGGGGTGCCACCTGCAAAGAGGCATTGGCTAATGATTAATTTATGCCAAAATCTGATCTCGGATACTCCAACAAAAATCAGAACAACATGAGCACTCAGTGAAGTAATTGAGAAGAGAATGTTGTTACTGGGATGAGGTAGAGGGGGAAGAAAGGGGAGACTACAATATGTAGCAGGACTAACACAGTTCTTTCAGTTTTTCTTGAAGGTCTCCCAACAAGTGCTAAGGGGAGATTTTGCTGCAAGGTTATTATCTACACACAAGTAACTTTAATACTTTATCATTCTACATACAAATTAAGTTATTTACTTTTCTGTATTTTCTTCAGCAATGTAATTCACCTAGATAAGCAAAAAAAAAGTGGCATGCTTTGAAAAAGAGGTAAAGAGCAACAGATCTTACTTAACATCTACCAGAATACTGTTTAACTTTCCTACTTATCAGTATTTACATGACAAACTATTCACCATTTTATTCCTCAACCAGTTTAACATTGTTGTTTTTCCCACAGCTTGATCTGCACTTTTATGTATTTAATTTATAACAGTTTCCATGGAAAAGAAATATTCAAAAAAGTGCTGAGGCAGCACATGGATCCCTATACCAAACCACAAATCTTTTCTAATGTTCATCTTAAACTGCAAGCAAATCTGGGAAACAAATTAATGATATAAATCATATTATCATTATTCACATAAGGATACTTCATTGTAACCCTTTCAGAAAACTACAGTGGGCTTGAGTAGCCTAAAGTACTCTTCAAGGAGAATGTCTGTTTTCAATTAAATGTTCTAAAAATAGAGTTGCACATACAGCTAGGACAAAGCCATCTGTGTTATCTCCCCTAAGATATCACATGCCTTTATAGATTCACAATAACATTCCCTTTGTCAGTACATATATTCAAACATAGGCTTAGCCTTTCTTTCCAATACGGGACAGGAAAGGTTGGGGAGAGAGAGGATAAGGAGAGAGGAAGGAAGGAGAAAATAATTTAAATATAAAAATTTTGAAGAAGTCATGTCCATTAATTCAAAATCTCTTTTTATACCCAGCGATGTCAGTTCCAAATAACCATGCCTCAAAGTGTTTCCCTCAGAAGAAATCTATAGTAATTAAATAGGATTTCTTGATAAACAGTTTTCACCTGCAGTACAGGCTTACATTTTTCCCCATTTGAGATTTTGTTTTAGTTGAATACATTAATGTATCATACGTGATAAAATTAACTGGTAGCACAATCTGGATTGAAAAGGTTGGGTCCAAAATTGGCACCTGCCCTACATACCCATGAAAGAGATCCAGGAAACATAACATACTCCCTTACTCCATCCTTAGTGCTACCCATACCACCAAACCTGTATGTCATGGGAAAGGCAAAACTCAGAAGGGCTAGTACTACTCCACATCTAAATAATGTGGAATATTGGAAGAGTTGGGCCCAGTCCAAGAAAGCTAAGCCAGTACAGGGGAAGAAGCAATCTGTAACTGGCCAGACAGATTATTTCTCTCCTGGAGCAAGTGGGGAGACCAGGGAGAAAGCCATGACTGAATTACAATTCCCTCTCTGGACTGCTTCTACAGCAGTAACACTAAATGCAGTCTCCTGCTACAGGATACATGCAATGCATTAGTTCTCCCTAATGAAGCAATGTTAGTTTACACCATAAGACAGTCTGTACTCTCATACTTCACCTACATATATCACCCCACAGAAAAGAGCTACAGGATTGGTGAAAGAGAAAGTATATACAGCATAACATATATTCATTACAGACACTGACTTTCCTTTGAACCCAGACTTATCTTTTAGACATCTTCCCTCATCTTCTTGACATCTGTCATTTCCTCTTTCAATGTAATTCCTTCCTTAAGTTAGCCAAATGCTCTTCCCCCTTTATTTCTACCAGTATAACACATTCATAAAGTTATTTCAAAGTATATTAATGGCTCTCAAGCAACTAAGAAATAGGTATCAAAATAGGTATTTAAAAATGAAATCTAAGTTTTCATTATCAAAAATATGTCACTTCAAAATGACACAAAACAGCTCAAAATTCTCATTTATTTTCTTAAAGATTTTATTCTAATAAGGTAAATAACCATTTCTAGTTGGCAGACATTTTGCTAAAATATCATTAATGTATGTTTATAACAGCTGTGGTGAAGTGCGGGCATTTGTTTTTATTTACAGTCTTTCAATTTTTGTATAGGTCATGATATAATCATCAACAAAATGAAAACGAACCTTTGAATAGATGCCATTTATTGGTTTCCATTGTTCTCCATTCAAAAGGTAGGGAACTATTATCTCATAATCTTCTGACTGGTTCTTTGGCGTCTGTTGCCTAGAGGATTCCAATTTACTGTCCACATTCTCTCCTAGGTTAGGGGGGAAAAACATTTCATGTTAGTAGGAAACAGAACTCGACAATGTGAACCTTATTATTTATGGGACTTGGCAGAAGGGTTCAGAATGAAGTAAATTCAAGGAAAAAAATTAACTATTAAAACACAATGGGCTGACATTGCTTCTTAGAAAAGTCAGCAGCAAACCACACCTGAATTCTAAGAGAAAAGGGAAGTGTTAAGACTATACTTCCTTTGAGCAAACCTCTCATTACTGTCAAAAATGCAATTAATGTGAAGACAGGGTGAGAGGGGGAAAAGTAGACAGTAGCTTAAGGGAACAGAACAAGCAATATAGCAGCCCAGGACCATCCAGGCTAGGGACAGAAATTATACATAAACCAATATAAGTGATTGGAAACCAGTTCAAATATGTAACACAACAGAAGTTCAGTGCACATAAACCACTTTCAAAATGGCCCAAACTGGTGTAAGATAAACCTGGATAGATATAGTATCAACTTACTTAGATTAAATTGTTTTATTGAATTTCTGTCCCAGATCCCCTCAATATTCAACTGAACTCATAGTCCTTCAGCATCCCAAGATGCTTTGCACCTCCCCTGCAAACTCCCTCTTCCAGGGTAGGCATGCTAGCTTTGGTTCAAGCTATCTGCTCCAGTTGAGCAGGGAGGTATGCTCTAGAGCCCACCGCTTTCTGGCCTGAGCCATTGCAGGCATGTGGCTGTATCTATGGACTCAAAAGTGAGTGCCTATTCACTTGCTTATTGGGTCAATCTACGCACCTTAGACTAACCTGAAAAGATTGAATCGATTCAGCCTCGGCTTTTTGACTGTCTGTACTTAGCCCCAACATCCAGTCAAACTGTCAACTATCAAATTATGCAGTAACATTTTCACTTCTATCTTTGTAATTTAAAGTAGAGATTTGTCATGATAAATAACAGGCTTTGCTTTACATTGCAAAAAGGTTATAATACTTATTAATGTTACAGTACCACCCCAAAAGCCCCACTTTATTGGATGCTGCACAAACCTTGCCCTGAAGCACTTACACTATAGGGACACAAGAGAACAGTGGGTAGGGTTGCAATCTGCAAGCCAATGAAACTGGGGAAGTACTGGCACTGCTGTGCTAGTTACATGGATCATTCTTTACTTTTTGTCTTTTCTTCTATATTGGAGGTAAGACAAGGAAGAAGGGATGGGGAGGGCTTTCCTGGGTATGGCTTTTTCGTCTAGCTAAAAATCAACAGATTAGATTTGTAAGCATCTCAAAGGTGAACCTTGAGGAATTTGAAAGATAATGTAACAACATCTAAATATTTCTATTAGGAGTCATTGTAAAAAAAAAAGTAGAGAGAGAGAGAGAATTTAAGAGGGGCCTGGATCATTCCCTCAGTTGCATGTTTGCAGAATCAGACCCAAAAAACTCATAAAAAAGTGATTAGTATTGCTGTCAGAACCATGTAACTAGATCCCCAATTTCTCCTGAGTGATTTAATCATCCTACTATGCTTTCATATAGTCTTAGCTCCCTAAAGGTAGATGATAGTCATTGATTTCCTTTTATGTCCTTTCCATTTCTTTGGCTGAGTCAGCTGGTCCTCACATTTTGCAAATTTGAGTCAGACATAACGATGCAGTTTTAGATTACTGAAGCCTCCAAGTTTATTGTGCACAAAAGGTTTAGCCATTGTAATCCTAGACTTTTATTAGACCCCAATTACTTCTTAATCCACACCATTTTATTCTGCTCTGCATGGAAACCTTCAGTTATACTCTATTTAACAAATTAGCCTGAATTCTGTTCAACACAAAGACTCACTCACCATAGTGGTCTCAAAATTTCTTTCTAATTACTCAAGAAGGTCATAAAGCATTTAGAACCCCAGTGACATATGCACACTGCCTCCTTGACCCACAGTCCAGGGGCGGGGCATGGCTGGGGAAAATCACTAGGCTGGTGCAAATAGGCAACTATTCAACTGGAATTCAGCCAACTTGGATGTGTAGATCCAAATCGCTTTTCTGATTTGAATGGGCCAAATTGATTCAGAAAAGATTTGGTGATTCAGCCATTGGGTATAATGGGGAATCAATGACATATCTATAACTTTGTTGATTTTTGGCTGATTTGGATGAAACTTTCACAGGTGATAGCTGCTGCTAAGGGCATAAAGGTTGCCAGGCTTCAAGGTGATAGGTACAGGGGTTTCTGGGAAGCTGCACCTCAAATCCTGAAAGCAAAACTCATGTCACGTGTATGTGTTAAGCCACAGTGGGCTGAGTTTTAGTGCCCCCTGGTGCCTGATATGGGCCACTGAAAGGGTCTGGCTGCCTTTCACATCTGTCCCTGGCCCCAGTGCCAACCCCAGGTTGTCTTTCTCAGTGGTCCTGACTGGTGCTCTGCTCAAGGCTATACCAAGGTGGTTACACTGGCTCATTTCTAGGATTTGGCATGCATGGTACAGAAATGAGTGGGTAGGGCATGCCTCACAGCAGTTGAACATGGCATAAAAACAGTATAGATTATGCACAAGGTGTCCACAATACACATTAGAGAAGAAACTTTGAGAGAGAATATAAGCCGTAACTGAGTTAATGCTCTACATGCAGAGTCAGTCACATGACTTAGATTAATATTGCAATATCAAAAAAGCTATTTGCAGGCCATGTTATTTATTGTGCAAGAAGCAAAGATTTCTTAGGGTGGTACCTTTTATTGGACTAACTGTACAGTAGAGTTTGTCTTGCATTCGAAAACTCATCTAACTCAACTACACAGATGGCCCAATAAGATATCACCCTAAGAAATACTTGCCCCTCACATAATTTCTGGACGATCACAGGTATAACATCACTCTTATGCTACCATATTATTTACTGAGTATTTTCTCTCTCTCTCAACATAAGAATGGTCTTTACCACAGAAAAGGAGAACTGGTGTAATATAAAAATCACTGAAAGAGAGCCTGGCAGACAAGGTTCCTTGGGTGAATTTGGTATCTTTTATTAGACCAACCCAAATGGTTGCAGAATAGTTATTAAGCAAGCTTTCGGGTTCAAAAACCCTTCGTCAGGCTCAGGAAGCTGCAGCAGTTGGTGTGTGCTCTTCCTGGATTCAGGAAGGGATGTATGTAGTTGCTGGAATCTAACTGAAATCACTGTCCATGTTATGCACATGGAGTTATGCCTAGTGTCCAGAGTAAATTCCAGGAATCTGATGATCAACCCATGGTCATTCATACTTTCTGGCTGACACGTTGTGTAAGATGTGTACGTCACAATAGATGATTCAGTTATCACTTAAACCACTGTAAATCAGGAATCACTGCTGATGAAGTCATGAATGCCACATGCTCCTGGAGGCTGGGGGGGCACAGCAAACTCCCGCAGGTGGTGGTGGCAGTGTTGGCAGTGGGAGCGTGGTGGCGGAAGGTGGCTGCCATGGTGCCAATGGTTTGGGGGAGTGGCGGCCAGCTGCGGTATCGGCAGCGCTTTTTGCAGGGGGTGCCCCGCCAAGTTCAGGGGGTGCACATGCACCCTCATGAACCCCCTACATGTTGCCAATGGATGTAGTGTTAAACTGATGTGAGGAGAATCAGGTCGAGTACATCTAACATCCTGTTCGAAATATACACCTACAGACATGGGAGACTGGTGCCTCCTGAGTCTGGGGAAGCACCTGCAGAAGCTGTTGGGGGTGGCAGTGGTGGGGACAGGGCTGGTGAGCACCCGCAGAAGCCACTGGTGGTGTCAGCATTGGAGACAGCCCTATTGGGGAGGGGGAGCATGTGCCCCCCCCCCCACCATCCCTCCACGAGTAACCTATGCCTACAGATAGAAAGAAAAAGGAAGAGGAGGAATAATAAACCAAGGCAGGTGGGCAAATTTGCTTCTTATATGAAAGTTTCAGCATTCTGACTAGAAAAAAAGAGTTCCCAACTCATCCAGAGATGAAGTCACCGACCCAGAATGAATATCTAGACGCAAGCCCTTCTAGGAAGAAATTAAAAAAAGGTAAACCTCAGTCTAAGTTTGTTCCTAAGTATGTTAGAATTTCCTGTCCTTCCTGCAGTACCCATGTTAAAGGGGTGTTTCCACCTTCCTCCTTTTTTAAATCAGGACAGAATTAGCAAGACAAATTTGCAACAACGAATCAGCGATATTTAGCTGCTCCGTGAAGGTTTCTTCTGACAGCTCCAGCTGACTGCAACACTGCTACCGTCCCACCCCACTACCCATACATGATAGACTCTTCAATGACACATTCAAGTCTGCAGTCGCATCATTTTCTGGTATCATTTCACCTGTCTGTGAGGCAGAGCAAGAATCCATTTAACATCATCAAGAGCAGAACCTTTCCTAGTTCTCTCACAGACTAGGAATTTATGGAGCATGTCTCAGTGAAATGAGAAACTTTTGGCTCCAATCCTGATTTCTTCTCAGCTCACTAGAGCAGTCTCAGCCATTTGGATTAAATGACTCAGGCCTTGCTCCTGCTATTTTACAGACCTTGCTTTCTAGCTTTCATTGAAACCTTTATAAAGGTCTGTTTTAAAAACCCTAGAAATATACATCTCTCACTGCAGATGTACCTTTGATGAATAAAACTTGCTTGAACTCTTTTAATTTCTAAATGGAGCTCTACTTCTGCCCTGAGAGCCACCTTCTCCTGCAAGATGAGAGTTCTCCAGCTCCATCCTCCTTGTTCCTCCCTTTCAACCGTGTGCGATTGGGACATACACTTTAACCTTGGTTACCCAGTTCTGATGTACTATGCTCACTTTCTTTTCCCACCTTCCCTGACAATACTGGAATGCTTCTCTTAAAATTTTCCCTTTTGACCTTCCTTTCTTTTTACCCGAGATTATAATTGACCCTCTCTGTAAGATATTATTTCATTTTGTGTTGCCATATAAAAGGGATCCAGTATAAAAATAAACCATACTGTTTTATAACTCAATCAAACAACAGCAAACACTGGCTGATTCTCAATTTTAAAAGGA